ATCAGTGATGCAGGCTTCTGAACGGAGCGTTGATAACAACTTGGGCTATCCTTGTCCTCTCTGGTCCGGATGACATGGCGTCATTTGACCACAGAACAGTCTTCCATTTTGCCACACTCCAATTTAAATGACCCCTGGCCCAGTGCAAACGTCTGAGCTTGTGGAGCTTGCTTAGAAATGGCTTCCTCTTGCACTGTAGAGTTTCAGCTGGCAACGGCGGATGGCACGGTGGATTGTGTTCACTGACAATTCTTTCTGGAAGTATTCCTGAGCCCATTCTGTTATTTCCTTGAAGGTGGCATTCCTGTTTGAGGTGCAGTGACGTTTAAGGGCCCGGAGATCACGAGCATCCAGTTGAGTTTTACGGCCTTGACTGTTACGCACAGCGATTGTTCCATATTCTCTGAATCTTTTGATGATGTTATGCACGGTTGATGATGATAACTTAAAAGTTTTTGCTATTTTACGCTGGGTAACACCATTCTGGTATTGCTGCACTATCTTTCTGCGCAACAATGGTGGAATTGGTGATCCTCTTACCATCTTGGCTTCTGAGAGACACTGACACTCTGAGAAGCTCTTTTTATACCCAATCATGTTGTCAACTGACCTAATTAGTGTTAATTGGTCTTCCAGCTGTTCGTTATATGCTCAATTTCCTTTTTCCAGCCACTTATTGCTACTTGTCCCAACTTTTTTGGGATTTGTTGACATTGTGAAATTTTGAGTCAACATATTTTTCCTTTAAAATGTTACATTTACTCAGATTAAACTCTTGATCTGTCATCTATGTTATATTACGAATAAAATATTGACATTTGCCATCTCCACATCATTGCATTCAGTTTTTATTCACAATTTGTTTAGTGTCCCAACTTTTTTGGAATCCGGTTTGTATATACATACACTACATTGCCAAAAGTATTTGCTCACCCATCCAAATTATTGGGATCAGGTGCTCCTATCACTTCTATGGCCACAGGTGTATAAAATGAAGCATCTAGACATGCAGACTGTTTTTACAAACATTTGTGAAAGAATATGTCGCTCCCAGGAGCTCAGTGAATTCCAGTGTGGAACAGATAGGATGCCACCTTTGCAACAAATCCAGTCGTGAAATTTCTTCGCTCCTAAATATTCCACAGTCAACTGTCAGCTGTATTACAAGAAAATGGAAGTGTTTGGGAATGACATCAACTCAGCCACCAAGTGGTAGGCCACGTAAACTGACAGAGTGGGGTCAGCGGATGCTGAAGCTCATAGTGCGAAGAGGTCGGCAACTTTCTGCAGAGTCAATCACTACAGACCTCCAAACTTCATGGAGCCTTCAGATTAGCTCAAGAACAGTGAGCTTCATGGAATGGGTTTCCATGGTCGAGCAGCTGCATCCGAGCCATACATCACCAAGTGCAATGCAAAGCGTCAGATGCAGTGGTGTAAAGCACGCCGCCACTGGACTCTAAAGCAGTGGAGGCACATTCTCTGGAGTGAAGAATCGCGCTTCTCCATCTGGCAATCTGATGGACGAGTCTGGGTTTGGCAGTTGCCAGGAGAATGGTACTTGTCTGACTGCATTGTGCCAAGTGTAAAGTTTGGTGGAGGGGTATTAAGGTGTGAGGTTGTTTTTCAGTAGCTGGGCTTAGCCCCTTAGTTCCAGTGAAAGGAACTCTGACTGCTTCAGCAGACCAAGACATATCGGACAATTCTATGCTCCCAACTTTGTGGGAACAGTTTGGAGCTGGCCCCTTCCTCTTACAACAAGACTGTGCACCAGTGCACAAAGCAAGGTCCATAAAGACATGGATGGCAGAGTCTGGTGTGCCTGAACTTGAATGGCCTGCACAGAGTCCTGACCTGATCCTGATAGAACACCTTTGGGATGAATTGGAGTGGAGACTGAGAGCCAGGCCTTCTCGTCCAACATCAGTATGTGACCTCACAAATGCACTTCTGGAAGAATGGTCAAAAATCCCCATAAACACACTCCTGAACCTGTGGACAGCCTTCCCAGAAGAGTTGAAGCTGTTCTAGCTGCAATGGGTGGACCAGCGTCATATTGAACCCTATGGATTAGGAATGGGATGTCACTTAAGCTCATATGCGAGTCAAGGCAGGTGAGCGAATACTTTTGGCAATGTAGTATGTATATATATATATATATATATATATATATATATATA